TAACCTAATGAGATTCAAAATCTTCCTCCATATCAAGAGTATTTTTTCCTTTACCAGGAGTTGCTCCACTCCTCGAGACTGACTGAGTCAGAAAACTGTTTTTTCAACTGTTGATGAACAGTTGTTTATCATGACTAGTGATTCATATTTTAATATACTACAACAATTATGATCAATACACAATGCTGTTATGACAAACTAAATGCATAATTTCATTTGACAGTTGTTTTCATTTTGCGTGCTGTGTGAAATGTCAAGGCCCAAATTACAGTAAAGCATTTTTGTATTAGGTTTGCAAACAGAAACTACTAAAACAACGACAAAGACATATGACATAGTACCACGGCTGCAACAACTAATTCATTCAATCAATTGGAATCTTTTAGTAGCATAGCCTATAAATAGACCTGTAAAGAGATAGTGTGGTAGTAGTAAACTGAACAGTGACAGTGTAGTAGTAGTAAAAAGTACAGTAACAGTATAGTAGTAGTACTAGTAAACTGTACAGTGACAGTGTGGTGGTAGTAAACTGAACAGTGACAGTGTAGTAGTAGTAAAAAGTACAGTAATAGTATAGTAGTAGTACTGTACAGTGACAGTATGGTGGTAGTAAACTACAGTTACAGCGTGGTAGTAATAGTAAAGTGTACAGTGACAGTCCAGTAGTAGTAAAGTGTACAGTTACAGTGTGGTAGAAGTAGAAGTAGTACAGTGACCGTATGGTAGAAGTAGAAGTAGTACAGTGACCGTATGGTAGAAGTAGAAGTAGTTCAGTGACCGTATGGTAGAAGTAGAAGTAGTACAGTGACCGTATGGTAGAAGTAGAAGTAGTACAATTGCAATGTGGTAGAAGTAGTAGAAGTAGTACAGTTACAGTATGGTGGAAGTAGTAGTAGTACAGTGACCGTATGGTAGAAGTAGTAGTAGTACAGTGACCGTATGGTAGAAGTAGTACAGTTACAATGTGGTAGAAGTAGTAGAAGTAGTACAGTTACAATGTGGTAGAAGTAGAAGTAGTAGTAGTAGTAGTAGTAGTAGTAGTAGTACAGTGACAGTATGGTAGAAGTAAACTCTTGGACTTCCCAGTCTCTCCTCATCCGGCGGCTCTACAGTAGGTTGGAGTTCTGTCAGCTCCACTTCCACAGTAACAGCTCGTGCAAACTTCTCTAGCCCTGGTGGCTCGCTAGCTCGTTAGCAGCCGGTGCAGAGCCGACCAGAGGAGGCGGTGAGCGGTTACCTGGTACTCCATGCCCGGGATGTGAGGTGCTGTCTTGGTGCTGTAGTGTCTGAGAGAAGGTCCCGCCAACCTGAACGCCCAGCCCTGCTTCAAGAGCCGCGCGGCAAACATGGAGCCGCACAGCACCACGCGCAACTTCCACACCATCATGCGGCGTTGAGCTGTCACAGGGAGCGTCAGTTCCGTTCACCGGCGTCATGACGTCAAAACTGTCCAGCCCCAAGATGGTCAGAAGGAGGATTCCCTAAATACTTCACTTCCTGTCAGCTATGTTGTACGATTCTGAACTTCCTGCCAAAACAAGAAGGATAACAAACCCTCAAATTGAAGTCACGCAGTACATGTCTTTATAATGTTGAGCAATTCATTTAGTCTCTGCTTCAAGACTGAAACAAGCCTAACAGCAGATACCCATCTCATTTCATGCAAATCCCAGAAAAAAAACATATTATGGAAATTCTAATAATAACTAGAAACATTTTGAATGGGTGCCTTGTGCTTGCTCCTGGCTCCACAGAGAGACACATTTGATCTCATGACATCCAGGTTGGTGACAGAGAGAGAGAGACACAGAGAGAGACTGTTTCAGTTTCAGACAGAGAGAAACTGTACCAGTTTAAAAGGAAGCAGAGAGACGCTGAGAGAGAGTGAGAGAGAGAGTAAGACAATGAGAGAGAAAGACATTTATAAAAGCTGCATTTTGATAACATGATCCAGGTTAGTGAGAGAGAGAGACACTGTGCCAATTTCAGCGAGAGAGGGAAACCATGTTGTAAGGTTGTAGGGTGTTATCACCATCAATGGGATTTTATTCTGGAATTCCAGCCTCTTTCAGGCTTCCTGGGAACATCCTGTAACTGTCTGGGGGCTTTAAATTAAAAATTCAGTGTCTTTCAGGCTTCCTGGTAAGGTCTTATCACAATCCAGGACTTTTATTCTGAAAATCCAGCATCTTTCAGGCTTCCTGGGAACATTCTGTAACTATTTGGGGGTTTTAATTTGAAAATCTAGTCTTTTTTAGGCTCCCTGGGAACATCCTGTAACAATCTTGGGGGTTTATTTTGATAATCCAGCATCCTCCAGGCTCCCTGGTAAGGTCTTGTAATCATCCAGGTCTTTTATTTTGAAAATTCAGCCTCCTTCAGGCATCCTTTTAAGGTCAGTGAACTATCTGTAGGGTTTTATTTTGAAAATCCAGGCTCTTTACAGGTTTCCTGATAACATCCTCTTACTATGGGGGGATCTTATTTAGAAAATCTAGGCCCTTCGGGTTTCTAACATCCTGTTACTATCGAGGGGGGGTTATATTTTGAAAATCCAGGCTCTCTAGATGTTTACTGATAACATCCTGTTACTATGACACTAAATATTGTCTATATTTTGTGTCAATGTTGGTTCTGCTATAACTGATACCTTGATCCTATTACAATAGACAATAGTTTTACCATCATTAAGCAGCACCAATTTATTCCTTGTCACCAATTCTACCAGTAACTTTAAATCCTTTGTTAAAATGTCATTCAAGATTCATATTGATGATGCAGCGGCACATATTTTGGAGTCATCTGCCCTTTCTAAAGCTAACAGAAGATAATTTATAAAGAAAGAAAATAATAGCGGCCCTAAACAGCTCCCTTGTGGAACTCCATACATAAAATATCTCGCAACAACCAGCACTCCCACCTGAGGACCTCCCACATCTGGAGCCATGGGTCCTATTACATCGCATGTGAACTATGAGGGAGGCAGGAGTACCCGGGGGGACTAACGCGCCCTTGGAAGAACATGCAAACGTCCATGTGGAGATTCCCGGGCTGGATTCAAGCCCCTGACCTGACTCCCCCCTTCATTTCCTTTTGTTCCCCTGTATTACTTGTTATTTCTCCATCACCCCAACTGGTCCTGGCAGAGGCCGTCCACACCGATCCTGGTTCTGGGAGTTCCTCCCCGCTGTTGCTCATGCTTGCTTTGTGTGGAACAAGTTGGATTTTGTGTTTCTTAAGATCTTGGACTTTTGTGCAGCACCCTGAGACAACAGTTTGTTGAGATACCATGCTATATAAATACATTTCATTGATTGATTGATATCTGATCTTGGACAAACAGCCATTGAAAAAAACTGTCTCCCACCTATTTGTCAGATAGGGGTGGTATATTGTCCAATTTAATGCAGTGACAGTGAAGCAATACTGTTTAATCTTACTGAACAACATAGAGTGATCAATAACATCAAACACCGAAACTGAAATCAAATAAAACTGCACCTACTAATTTGCCTCTATCTTCACTTTGCCAGTGATCTATCATTTGTATCAAAGCTGTGCATGGAGAATCAATAGTAAATGGTAAATGGTTGTATTTATATAGCGCTTTTCTAGTCTTGAAGACCACTCAAAGCGCTTTACACTACGGTTTGCCATTCACCCATTCACACACACATTCATACACACAGTGCATCTAGAGTAGCACTTTTTTATTGTTGTTCTATATGGGGCAATTTGGGGTTCAGCAACTTGCCCAAGGACACTTTGGCATGCAGATGGGAAGACTGGGAATTGAACTTCCCACCTTCTGGTTGGAGGAGCCACAGCCCCCTCACTTCACCCTCCCCTTCCAAACATGACAGAGAAACAGTGGTAGCCTTTTGTTGTCATAAAAACTCAAAAGGTGTTTAGTTTGTCCAGTCTGGACTAATGTAAAAAAACATGGTGGCCTCCGTAGAGAGGGTCCCCACAATGTTAATATAAAGTATTTAAATATAAAGGGTCTTTTCTGGTGTAAAGAAAACTACAATTCATACAATTTAGATGAAATAAACTAGTGAAAACATCATGGGGATTATTCTACATTACATTTCTGCCAATAGATCCCTTTCACCTAAATCTTACACACTGGACCTTGTGCGAATGAATCAGTGAACGGGAAGTAAAGAGCTCAGTCCAGTTGGCTGCCGTGAATGGAGTGGGAGAACATTCTAATGGGTCTCCTGGAAATACAAAAAGTGAAGAGTGCAACATATTCCAATCAATATTTAAATCTCCTAAAAAATAAATTTCGTTCTCAAAATCATTGACTTTATCTAACATTTCACACATTTCATCCAAATGAATTAATAGGCATTTGGGGCCTATAACAACATCTTACAAAATGTGGTAAATTAATTTGCAACCGAAGTACCTCATTATCAGCATGCATTAAATCATACCTTACTTTGGCAGATGTTGCTAACAAATTAAGACCACATGAAAATATATCTGTTATCTCATCTACAGTTACTGAAATTGTACTCGCGCTGTTCAGTTGGTCAGAATTTAGGATTTTCAGTCAAGTTTTGCTACTATATATATTTCCGGTGTCCTTACACCTCCTGGTCACTAGATGTCGCCCTCAGTTAATCGCTACAACATTATCTGTTGTTGCTGCCTTCAGGAACTCTCCTAATTATTAGATTTATAAAACATGTTAGATGGTAGTTAACATGTATATGCAATGTTTTCGTGTGTGACCAAATGCGACCCAGCAATTTAATATGTGGAGCAACGAACATTCAAATCACACGCTAGTTACATCGAAACAACATAATGTCCCTACAACCCGAAAAGACAACACACATTTCATGATAATTTAACTTTTATAATGTCAATTGTAGTCCGTAGTCTTTGTGTAGAAATTTGACATATTAATTATCAGGTCGTTTAATGTTATTATCATTTCCATCAATGGATCTCTGAAACCAAACGATTCCAAAGGTTCCCATAATTTACACCGCAGAAGGCGAGAGTCTGAGTTGTTCCTGAACGCAGCATTGATCGTACACAGGGCGCAAAGATGCAGCGTGAGAGGACGACCAACGCCAGTACGGCTGAAAAGTAAGAATAACGACAATCACCATGTCACGTGTTGAATATTTACATTCTCATCCATTTAACGATCTCAGATTCGGCTCGTGTTTCAATGTAGAAGCCCCAATATTGAGTGAAATGTCTCTTCTCCAGGCCCGACCGGGAGGCCGCCATCATGTCCAAATACTACGATGGAGTTGAGTTTCCTTTCTGCGACGAGTTCTCCAAATATGAAAAAATGGCCAAAATAGGACAGGGGACCTTTGGGTGAGGAGTCCAGAGAGACTGTGCTGTGTGTCTATGTCTGCGCGTGCTAACGACAGCACTGCTAAAGGCTAATGCTAGTTATATATATGTTGCAACGGTGAGACAATGAAGGGTCTTGATGAAACCTACAGGAGTGTGTGTTAGTGATCGACATTACATGACGAGGGGCCCTTACTCAAACCTCCACGTGCCAGTGCTGGAGTTTATGCAGCGCTTGCATAATAAGGGTGAAATGCGGAAACAACGTTTAGCTGGAAGTTGTTTACCAATATATATTCTCCCAAAAGCCAAGTCAAGCTCTTCATGTGTTGTCATGTCCTGTTGTGACTTTCACAGGGAGGTGTTCAAAGCAAAGCACAGACAGACTGGGAAGAAGGTCGCGCTGAAGAAGGTTCTGATGGAAAATGAGAAAGAAGGAGTAAGAGACCATTGAATTCACTTTATAAACTGGTATCTTCACCTCATTATGAGTCAGCCTGAGGTTTTTTATTCCCCACACAAGAGAAAAGGCATATTTATGGAAAGCTGTGTTCAATTACTAGTTTGGTCTTACGTTTGTGGTTTAATTCCAATTATCGATAATAATTTTATTCAGAGAAGGGTATCACGATATATCGAATATCAGTGGTCCGACTCTCCCATCATCAATACACGATCTTGGTGAAAAATGAACGCAGCACTGGACGGAATTAATCTTGTGACATTACAGAAGCTTATCGAAACAATGCCACAGCAAATTTGTGCCGTACTAAAAGCTAAAGGTGGTCCAACGAACTATTAGAGTGTGTGACCTTTTTTTTGGGGCCAGGCAGTGTATTTGGCCAATCAGATGGAGCCCTACTGCCCTAGATAATAAATTATATATATTCAGATCATTTACGTTTTTTTGCATAGCTTATTTATGATAGTGCCAGAACCTGAAGGTAAGGAAAAGCGAACACACAAGTGACACCACTTTTGTCTCTCATTCAGACACACACACACTTTTTTCAGTCCAAACATGTAAAGATGAGAAGACCCAAAAGGAACACTCTGAGTGGACGACCTGATCACTATAACATAGTTATTTAAACAGCAATGTATAGGAACCATACTGTCCCAAGCTTTTTGATTCATGTAAAGGGTCTTTTTACACTGTATTTGCCAGTGTCTGACTGCAGTTTGAACCCAACAGTGTTGACCAACTGTGTCAGTCTGAACTGGCAGGGAAAAGCCTGTTATAGACTCCGGGTCATTCATGTTATTGAGTGTAAAGACAGTTGCATATGTCCTGTTCTCACAGTTCAGCTTATCTTTGTTTCAGTTTCCAATCACAGCATTGAGAGAAATCAAGATCCTGCAGCTGCTCAAACACGAGAATGTGGTCAATCTGATAGAGATCTGCAGAACAAAAGGTTGGTGTCACAAGACCACATTATATTCATATATCATTATAGTGACTTCATCTAGGTTACAGTTGATAACCCACCTCTATCTGTAGGCCCTGTCATGTGTAAAAGACAAAGGTCGTGTCATTATTGGTAAATATTTCTTATATTCTTTGTTCCCTCTCCTTAAAGCTACACAGTTCAATCGATACAAAGGCAGCATCTACTTGGTGTTTGACTTCTGTGAGCATGACTTGGCCGGGCTGCTGAGTAACGCCAACGTTAAGTTCACCCTGGCAGAGATCAAGAAGGTCATGCAGATGCTGCTGAATGGACTGTACTACATCCACAGAAATAAGGTGAGGTGCTGATAAAAATGACCATCCACTGCTTCTGTGACCTTATCAGCAGATCCCACTGGAGCACAAGAACACCATCAGTTTATTTCACAACCTAATTCCCAAATATTCATGTCAAGTCTGGCAGAATATGAGCCCATTTACCTGATACTGTATCACCTACTTAATATGGTTTCATCCCTAATAAATGAAACATGCTTCCACTACTTATAGCTTATATTAGAGAGATCATAAATAATATCCACCGCCTTCAGATTCTGTACTTTTTGGGGGGAGATATTTCTTTGAATGCGTCAAATTTCCATTTTGCCCATCAATTTATTTGTCGTTTATTTAACTGACTGTTGCTGTGTTTTAATCATGTCACACCCTTCTGCTGGATCAGATCCTCCACAGGGACATGAAGGCTGCCAATGTGCTCATCACCAGAGATGGCGTTCTGAAACTGGCAGACTTTGGTTTGGCCCGAGCCTTCAGCCTGGCTAAAAACAGCCAGGGCAACCGCTACACCAACCGTGTGGTGACACTCTGGTACCGACCTCCAGAGCTGCTGTTAGGTACGAGACAACCGTAAAACGTTCCTTACTGTTAATTCAATTCACTTCAGTTTTATTTGTGTAGCATCAAATCACACAAGGCAATTTGCATAGTAAGGTCAAGACCTGACAATATTATCGAGAAACCTCTCTGTTTCTTTCCCTCTCTGTGTCTGTCTCTTCATATGTCCCTCTCCTCTCCCTCTGTTTATGTCTCTGTTTCTTTCTCTCTGCTGCTCTCTCTCTAAACTCAGACTGGGTAAAAAAATAAATGTTTGGTCTTTGCAAACACAAACGGCAGTCATTATCTGCATATAGAACAACAAGTTGTCACTATGATTAAAATCAGGATACGTTTTAATACCAGGTGTGAACACACAAACTTTAAGCTGTCCAATTGAGAGGGGTTAGCTTGTCTTACTGGTGTGTGCCCCTGGCTTTCACACTGGTTGTTATAATGAAAAATAGCAAGAGTGATGTTTATAGATGTGATAATGCAATTGATAATAGCAGCAACTGGTAATTGAAGTCATTA